CTGGGGTTCGATCGAACCCAGGTTAAGAACCACAGTTCTATTTGAACCTTGAATTCAAATCAACTCTTCGATAAAGTATAAGGGTTAAGCTGCTACAATTTTTTAAATACAATAATAAAATTATAATATTACAAGAATAAAGTTGTAATTTTATGAGAACTTCAACATGTATAATAAAAAATTATTATACAAGCTTTTTTCTCATTAAAACAATTTTAATTTTAAAATAGTTTTAAAATTAAAATATTAAATTAATTTTTAATTAAAAATTAATTTAATTGATTAAATTTAGTTAATTTTGCATCTTTATTAAAATTGCATCTTTATTCTGTTAAAACTATGACTATTTTCTCATAATTAAGTAAAAATTCTCAACTTCTCCTTAAAACTCCATCTTATAATTCACAGAAGGAATGATTGGAGTGAAAGCCACTTTTTGAAAATATTTTCTATCATTTGCAATTTCCTCTTTAGAAAAGAAAGAGGAAAAAATTTATTAAAATCAGAAATCTTATTTTTAGGTGATATCACTCAGCCCAAATTTCAATACATTTGAGAGGTCTCTAAATTATTTTAGTATATGATAGGTTTGTTTTTTTCTTGTGGAACCTGTGTTTTTGTAACTCATTGCTTCTTTCAGGAAGAAGTGGTGATATCAGAACACATTTCTTCTTTTCTTGTTTTATCTTCATACGTAACTCGATCTTATGACTAAATGCGGCACAGTCAGCTGTTTGAAGTTAAAACAAAATGAATAATCAGAGTCATGCTGTAACATCAGTGCAATCTTTGATTGATCACTTCCTGTCTCTGTTCTTCAGTGGCCTTACTCCTCATTATTTTGTTGGTTCTTCGTCGACGGCGGGACTCTGACGGAGAGCTGGCGGTCGCCCGGGCTCCTCTACTGCGCAAAGAGCGACCTCAGGGTCGGTACTACGGCCTGCCCTGCGACTCAGAACCAGTCTATGCCGGCTGGTGAACCCTTTCCAAACTCAACTGTAACTTCAGAGGTGACCTATTATGCTTCCTTCAACATATTAGGATAGTTTTATGGGCTGCACAAAAAATGTTCATTTTTTTACATAAAATCTCTCTTAGATAATGAGATTTTAGTCTGGTAAGTTCTGCCTATTTTG